CTCCCACGAAGTACCAAATGAATTGCCATTGACAGCGGGGTACATTGAAACTAATAGAAGAGCGCTCAGCCAATCAGAAAACGACATTTATGTGTGAGGTAAGATAAGTACATACATATACTCTCTCCATCTTGGCATTCAGTAACCTGTTGAAGGAGTGAGCGGATACTCCAATACGTTGTGTTCCCCATGATAAAGAAGTTGACATCCATGCATTCCCTCTCGTATGCGTATAAATTCTACAAAACTCATGTCAAAGTCTATTATATAATCTCCCACACTTCGGTACACATTTGCAGTGTTGTTTAAGAAATACAGTTCGCTCTACCACCATGTATAGTGTAATAAAGCACACTTTCCCCGTGAACTACTATAGTTAAAGCACGAGGACGCCGAAAGTGTGCTTTATTACACTATACATGGTGGTAGAGCGAACTGTATTTCTTTTCTAAGATGCCAAATTTAATACTTTCTAAGAATAATTACGATTAATTTAAGGCAGAAAACAAACGACAGTGTCGGTGACCTAAATTAAGAATCCTCGCACAGGGCTAACTGGCGCGCTGTTCTATTGATGTGTCTGCCCCCCTACGTTAAGACGAACGTTACCAGAAGAAAACAGATGATAACAGTTTAATGACGGTTTACGTTCGGATTAAATATCTTCTCTGAATTATTTTAATTACATCTGTCATTAACGTAAACCATATGGGGCAATATGAACGTCGCATTTCTACTACCAACGTAAGTTTAGATCAGTACATCCAGATGAAGCTGAATAGTCAAGCGACATTCCACGATTGCATTGTGGGAATGTAAACATTGCAAACGTTACCGTGTCGCTGAAAACTTGTGAGTCGAATTGACACATTTTAACCGTCGTAAAACATAAACGTAATGTTTCCACCAGTGATGTTAGCTGCGTGAAGCAACTGCAAACCTAGAAACGGGATGCAACAGAGTAGTTTACTGTAGGAGGCCGTACGAGGCGATGACAACTGGCATATATCGTGACGTCGCTTACATTGTGATGTAATGTAAAATGGTTCGATTACGAGGTGGCACACTAGAATGGCGCAGTGACGGGATAACGTCATTCAATTGTTACGTCATCAAAAAAACTATACCTTTATTGAACATAGACATTTTTTCTGGGTTACATCTTCTTTTTATTCTCGAGTACAACGTTTCAGGGCTTGTTCTGGCCCTGAAACGTTGTACTCGAGAATAAAAAGAAAATGTAACCCAGAAAAATCTCTATGTTCATCAAATATCATCTTCTAAAATGCCAATCAAGCACCAATACCTTTATTGTCTAATAATGTATTTTCGATTGTTCTAACCGTTAGGCATCTTAGAAAATGTTTTACTCATTTCAGTGCTATTCTTTGTAGGTGTATACGGAACAACTGGGATAGTATCCTCACGCCTGGCACGCTGATGAAGGCATCGTGGGCAATCAGGGTGGACCTACTTAAGACCATGGTTACAGTAGTTCCGACAAATCGAGATATCTTGATTTACACTGCCGGTGATCTTCCACTTGGCGTTTACCAGGTCATCAAAGTTGAACAAGGAGCGAAGGAGAAAACCAGAATATTATTTACATAATTTAAAGTTTCATGTGTTAAAAATTTCATAAGAAGATTCCAAGCCACTGATGGCTGAGAACAGATGGCTATGTATTATGCTGGAATCAGGACATGTCGTCAATGATGAGAACACAACAGTCACCAGTGTGTCCCTTTCTGTCTTATTTTGTTGCTTCGATCTATTGTTGTTGTCTGTGTTGTATTATATATTTGATACACCGTGTCAATGTTTTGTGTATATTTAATGGTGCATCTGGATCGTAAACAATAGGAAACTGAAACAGTAGCAAAACAGATGTAATTATTGATCCAGTTACACAGTTTAACCGGAACTGGAACTATGCAAATTATCAAAACATGAGAATATCTAACTGAAAAACGGTATAGGGTATTTCATGTTAAAGTATTTGTATAAGTAACTGCTTTCATGTTTGATGTTCGGCATAATCTATACACCTGATATTTAGCATTTATGAAACATTGTTAAACGACATCGTGGTTACTGCCATTTAATGGTTTTAAATCATAGAAGGCAACCCCGATTTTTCCTCTACGTTGTGGAGCCTGTCGTGAACATCTGGCTGAAGGTTTTGAACCAAGATGACGAGGTGGGGGAAATAGGGTTAAGCTTTGTTCTCAAGATTATTGAGCTCATATAGGAGTGGTTACGTGCGTGCACTCACTGAGTTTGGTTTTACGCCGCTTTTAGCAATATTCCAGCAATATCACGGCGGGAGACACCAGAAATGGGCTTCACACATTCTGCCCATGTGGGGATTCGAACCCGGGTCTTCGGCGTGACGAGCCATTAGGCTACCCCACCGCCCACGTGCATGTTCGTTTGCATGTGTGTACGTACTTGCAATTGTCTTTGTATGTGTGTGTGCATGCATGTGTGTGTGTGTGGGGGGGGGGGGGATGAGCGCGTGTGTGTATGTGTGCGTTCGTGCGTGTGTATGCTGTTAACACTGACCCGGACTGATATATCCGTAGATGACTCATCTAATCCTACTGAGATACCATGCCACAGTTTACCCTGTCGTTACTTATTTGGGGCACTCAACACGGTATACATGACCATACAGACTTGTTATCCTCTTATTTGAAACTACATACTAGGATAAGAACAAGTTGTATCAATCTATTCTGGAGCTGCTCAAAGGCGCCAGTTAGTTTGACGTTGCCTCAACGGCACACCGGGATCGAACCATTGAAGTGCCTTTTTAAGCTTAGTTTGACGTTGCCAATCGAGCAAACGTTCAATCCACTAGACCATGAGGTGCTCGTCCACAAGGAATATTTTGGTGACTGGACCTGGGAAAGAGAAGGCTATCAATGATGAGTTGGAGATCTTATGTGCGCTTCCCGACATGATGTGTATTTCGCGCACGTGAGAAAGCTATCGATGATTTGGAGATATTACGTGCACTTCCCAACTTGATGACTTGTGTATTTCGCGCACGTGAAAGCATGATACAACCTTTATCAATGAAGTATGAACATATTCACGTTAAATTGATAATCGGATGATCACACGAAGTGTTTGACATCCTAAAGGCCTGTGATGTTGTAAGTATCACGGTACTTCAACTAACAACCGCTCTACACGCACCTATGTCTTTGTACTCACTTGTGTGTCAACCCGAATATTTACACATATTCGCATAGCAAACCGAAGGCCAATCTCCAAAGATATTGTTTATCTTACTTTGGCATCCTAAACCAGGATCGACCACTTCCTGTACTGGACATCATGTAACATTAGTTGTTTGATAGATACACTCTCTCTGTTACGTTATTGTCGATGTGCATTTTTGAGTTGTCATGGTCATTGAAGATGTTTATCAGCGTACTGCATTAACAAATCAGAACTGAAATCGAATAACTGCAGAGAATAATGGCACAGAGGTTTGCATGTTTATATTACAATGTCAGGTACGTGTATGCCATTCCGTTGTCATGACAATTTAGCTTGCATTGATAAACAACAAGTAAATTGAATTTGTACTGTTGAACAATGACTCTTTTGATGTACTGAACAAATGTGATGTTAATACATATCAAGGGTGTTTTCCAGTATATTGCGTGCAGGAGCAGCGATGTAAGTGGATATATTTTTGAGCACCTCCCACAAACACTATACATGGTCCACGTATCCCCACTAGTGACAATATCTTGTCCTCCAGCTGATACGAGTATTGCCCTTCGTGAGAGCTGTCAGTAGCAAGTTTAAGTTGGGTAATGGTTGATCCTCCTTTCCAAACACTTCGCCGATAATTATCTTCCACAATCGGCATGTAAACTGATATGACACAGTCAGTCTTAATTGCTCGACCGAAGGGTACATGCCGTGGATTGTATGTAAAGTAAAATGAACTCAACAGTGTAATACCATGTCTTATTTTGGAACGGGTGTTCAGTAGTGGAATTTCCTCAAGTCATGTGATCTAGCTGCTGATCACGTGGTACAGGTCAAGCTTTGGGACAAAATGGCGGCTGTCAACCGTGCCCTTGAGTGAGCCTCGTCAAGTTCAAAGTGCAATATCATCAATATGGGGTAAAACGATTGCGCTTATGGCACTTGTAATAGTGACTCACGTTTCTACCATAAACCACATATGGCAGATGTGTTTTTTTTATTAAATTCCAAAGCCCACATCAAAGCCCGAGATGTGTGACCGTTGGATCAGAGCGTGTTCCCGCGGTGGGGATTTCGGCCGTCACAGGATCACCCAAGATACTTACGTATGTTCCAAACACTTTGTTGGTGGACATGGTCCTACAGGCGAAAATCCTGGCCCTATACCAACTACCGCTAGAGGTGTGGAACTGAGAATCTTCAACACGAAGAAGTCAAGACCACCACTTAAGGCCGTGTGAGCTTGTCGCCAGAGAAGAAAAGAAGTCGTTCACAACTCCAGGTATGCATAGTTCCGATGCTGAATCAATTAACCAATCAATGGGAATGAAATGAATTAAAGTGAAAGAACACATAAACAAATAAATAAATTAACAAATAAATAACTAAATTTTAAATGATTTATAATAATTTATGATGTTCATAAAATATTAATTAATGATTTTTTTTTTGCAGGTACTCAATGCGGACATTGATAAGGAAAATGAAATAACTAAGGGTTCTGAAGAGCAAGATACGAATGTTGATAATGAAGGTATATCCATTGATTATATTACAGACAAAGCTTTTAAATGAAATGTTTAGTTAATGAAATCCGGTTGGGTTTTTAGCACTGTTTATTGTCTGAACAAGTTTGCAATTATGAAATTATAAGATGTTGTCTAGTGTTTGTTTTTGGACCATTTATCATATTCCCAGTTTTGTTTTTAACAAACATGTTTTATTTTGCAGATGTAAGAAAACAGGTTTCCTATTCTGATGCAGCTACTCAGACTGACATCTTGCATGATGATCTGGCCGGCTACAGTGATGATCAGCTCAAACAACCTAAACTTCTGTAGAGAAAACTATTCATGGGTGATATTCTCAGAAGTGACAGATCATGCAAATTCTACACAGGTAAATAATATATGTTTCAAATCTATATTAAAAACATGAATTTTATCTTTTATTTAGTGATAATATATTTTGCATGATATAGACCTTAATGTGTGTTTTAAAATAGTAATTTGATCAATGTTAAAAACTATTTCAGGTATTACATCCATCCAGCTTCTGTTGTTCCTGCACAGATTCCTACAGTCCAAAGCTGAGAGGTTAACACTGTGGAAAGGGGAAGAAACAACAGTATGTTTTGTTTATTGCTTTAATATTGCTTTTATTAATAACCACCTACATACTATCTATTGAAACATATACACTGAATGTTACTTAGTCACTGATCAATATGCCATTTGTTAACCCTTTCACAGGCAATGCTGTAAAGAGCATCGTTTTTCTTAATGGTCACTTGCAAATTATCATTGACTTCCTAGTACCAGCCACTGTGAAATACATTAATTAATGAACAGATCCACTTGACCATGTTAACCGATACATATTTACTTTTCAGGAGAATGCCAAAAATAAAGATGACCATCACCCCAGGGGACTTTCCACCTTCACAGCTTCCTTCCTAACACCTGTGCGCCTTTGACGTGGCCTGGATGTCGACCATTTGAGTGATCTGTTTGGCATATCATCATCGACAGTTAGCCGTTACTTCCGGACATACACTGAGTTTATATCAAGGGAGCTCAGTTTTGTTGTTAAGTGACTAATCAGACTGCAGGTTCAACTTCACCTCCCAAAGGCATTTAGATATTTCAAAAAGAATATTGCCATTATAGATTGTACATAATGTTTTGTACAGAAACCCTCATTGCCATCTGGTCAGAGAGTGACCTGGTCACAGTACAAACATCACAATACCTTCTAATAATGTCTGGTTGCTATTTCCCCAACAGGTGCATTTACTTACATCTCTCCACTGTGGTCTGGTTCAGTGTCAGATAGGCGCATTGTTAACGAATCAGGTTTCCTTGATAACTTAAACTATGGTGATGACATAATGGCTGACAGGGGTTTTTGGTTACGGATCTCTTAGCATTAAGTGGATGTACAATAAACATACCGCCTTCGCGCATGGTAAGCAGTTAAGCAAGGCAGCTGTTCAGAAAACGAGGAGAATAGCCCATGCTCGAATACATGTTGAAGGGGCAATTGGTCGCCTCAAGAACTTTAAATTTTTACAAGGTATTTTTCTACTGGAATGCAAGAAGCTTATTAATCAAAGTGAACAAGTTTGTGCTCAGTTATGCAATTTTGACAAACCACTTGTAAAGTAACTGTTGTTATAAGAATATTGCCATATTTATGACTTACATGATTCTGTTGTCATGAACATATTGAAATGTTTTGAGCTTTTTTTGAAGAGTTGTCTCCCATGTATTTACCATATATTTGGGATTACACTCTCTTAGTAAAGTACAGATTCTTGTACTTTGGTTGGGTTGAGTCCCATCTGGGATTCGAACCCACACTCTCAGAGTAGGCACCTAATCGTCAGCACACAAAGTCAGACGCCTATCCCTCTCAGCCACCATGACTTCCATGTATTGTTGAACATGACCTACTGTTATAAGTGTCAACTGATCTCAATGAAGTTTTATTAAAGTTTTTAAAAATAAAAAGATAACAAAGCCTTAATAAATTTCGTAATTGTATTTCATGTGAAATATTTGCTTCTCCTGAATGAAATATTATTTAACATGTCTCTAACCAACATGTCTAATAATTTATTATCAATAACACTAACATAGAATGTAATGATGCATTGATGATTAAGATGCAAGTGTGCTCGAACTAAGAAGAAAAGTGATCAGTGAATTCACACATGCTTAAATAATTCTGGAATAACATAATTCATATAGAAATAATTCAAGTTTTTCAAGTCCTCATTGAACTGAACAGGTATCACCAAAATTCCAGATCTTGTATAAAGTATAAGACCACACACAATGCTGTGATTGTAGGACATGCATTTCAATACCCTTGAAATCTCGTATGACCAGGGTTAGATTTGTCATATATTTCGTACATGCGTAAATGGTTGGAAATTGGTAAATATAGTGTTACATGATTAGCACTACTTTAACATGTATTTCAATGGTTCTGTAATGTAACTGTCACATAGGGTTCGTTAGCGCGTCCGAGCACGCCATAATGTACTGAGATAATTAGAAACACATGGTGATGTGATACCCATGACTGAACACCACTAATAACGTGCGTGTCTTTCTTGACATACACATGGTGTCTGTTTAAAAGGTTCAAATATCGGGTCTATGGGCCAGAGCGATGTGTGTGTGTGTGTGTGTGTGCGCGCGTGCGCGTGCGTGTGTGTGCGTGCGTGCGTGCGAGTGTGTGTGTGTGTGTGTGTGTGTGTGTGTGTGTGTGTGTGTGTGTGTGTGTGTGTGTGTGTGTGTGCGAGTGTGTGCGTGCGAGGGAGAGGGTGTGGCATGGGAAAAGGCCTAGGGTGGGGTGTTGGCGGTGGGTCGGTGTTGGGGTACTGATAAGTCTTTCTGACCAGTAGGTAATATCGTTTATACTTTTTCTAATGGAAATTACATAACAGTTTATATAACTGACCTTAGGTACACTTCTTATATATGCTATACAAGGAGACACTGCTAATTACAATAAAACACAGACAGATGTGTTCACGCAGACATGAACCGGTAGTTCCCTAATTTTAGTGCTCACTTGTGTGAGTTATCCGACTGATCATAACTGAACAAATTTCCTGATCTATACTTTCAAAAAGATGATTACAATGTATTAATGATTCCCGGTGTAAATTACTGTTGTAAATGTGTGAACATGCACATACTTGGTATGACCTCTTTTTGATTCGGAATACAGGTATTACGGACGCTTTCTCAAATTTCAGTTACCCGACGGAATATACTGTAGACATATTTTGTTTCCATCTCTTGGGTAGACTAGAGAAAATTGCAGTGATTGCAATTAGCTCATAATTTTCATAATAAACCTATTTTGTTTCCATCTCTTGGGTAGACTATAGAAAATTGTAGTGATTGCAACTAGCTCATAACTAAGCAGTTTCGATAATTATTGAAATCTTACAACCTGCCAGCATTTATGTTGCTCATGCGTTTTCTTCTTTGCTTTTGCTTTTTGCTGTCTAATTTGTTATACATTATGTAATTATGTTAATCATTTTGGTATCTCAATATCATGAAATATAATGTGTACTTATTATTCTATCAAAGTACCGAAACGTATTATCTGTATGCTTTACTGTTATTGGGTGAAACTGTTAAAAGTACCTTCGTACAGAATTTCCAGGAAATAGAAACTGAAAATTACTAGATAAATGGAAAACTAAATTGGATAAAGATCGCAAACAATCATTATTTATATTCCTCTTTTTAAATTATCAGTGTGCAGATCATGTCACTAACATAAAAACTGAAGGATATATGGGGACAAAACTGGGTTCAATCTTGAATGTATAATACATGTACCAATGTATAATCTTTAACAGTATCAAGGAATGATGCATGGGGTACGCTCGTGGTTAAAGCGTTCGCCTGTCAGGTCAAAAACCGGTGTTTGATTCCCGACATAAGCACATTAAGTCTGAAACTATATTATTTTGATATAAGGCAAAGATCTTAATTTCAATTGAAAAAAAGAGACGAAGTAATTTGGAAGATTCACAGACTAACAACATCTATATTGGGGCTACCTGTGCAGGAAGCATCTTCAATTATAAAATCACATTCCACAAACATCAGATAAAGGTTTAAATGACAAGCATATTTATTGGCATCTTGCCAAGCTCTGTCCTCTCTGAATGCAGTATAACCAGAGTGCTGTGGTCACTACCTCAGGTGGCCAAATTCAGCAATCCCATTACTTTACAGTATTTTCTTACAGACATATATATGGAAAATTAACTTTTACGGGTATGGAAAGAGTGGGGGGAAACACGTGCAAAGTATTAGTCAGCTGAGATTATCCTTCAAAAAGATCATATGTACAACAATCACTTATCATTATGTGCAACCAAAGCATTGCAAAAAGGCCATAGTTCCAGACAGCATAACATCACATTTGGCCGGGGTTCCAAATAATTTGACACCGAAAGCCTGTCAGTTAACGCAAAGGAAATAACCCTTGTGTTTTAAAATGATGCTTTAATCATAGTCACAATGAAGTGTAGGTTGCCATAGTCCCTGAACCACATTATTTTCCTTACTGCTTAGTCTGTCTCACAGTCCCTGAACCACATTATTTCCCTTACTGCCAAGCCCTCTCTGCAATGTTAAATGAAACAAGTCGAGATCTCCTCAGGTCCAGGCTCTGTTAACATCTGCAAGAAACCTAACTCTCTTTGGGTGTCGGGTTACAAAGTAAACATATCTAACTGTCATGGCTGGCCGGACTGAATCTCGTGTCTCCCTGGGGATCCTTTTCATTTTAAATAAGTTTGTTTGTCACTATCAAAATTATATATATTCAGACACTAAGCGTTGGTCTATGTATTTTCCAATATGATGGAAATACTAATACAATGACATGTATTTACCAAATAAAATTCTAAAGGAGCCATTCTTCAAGCAGTGACAACGCCATACATAGCTAGACTTGCTTAGATGATAGACTTCATATAAGGCATCATAGATATTTCACAAACCCTTAGCCTCATTAGCTTATTGCCTCACCACTTGCGAATTAAGCGTTGGCAGATGTAAATGTTACTGGAGATGTTGGTCCCGCCAGCTGTGGGTGTTTGGTATGGCACTCCATAACCCGAACCCTGCAGTGATTTTTGCTAGAGACGGAAGAGGAAAAATATCGTTCTGTGACTGTGATACAGACTGGGACAAGATATGGAAAACCAAAATTTGAACAACAAACCATTGTTTGGGTGTTTTAATTGCAAATATGATTCAAATAGCTTAACCTAGATTTCGATATCCTCCGAATGTACATTTGGTGGAAAATAAACATTCATCCCGAGACAAGGACGAATGTTTATATATAATTAAAAAATAGTAACAGCACTAGTATCCATTTTGTCTTTTGTCTTCTACCCGTCAGAACTAGATTAACAACTAGTCTCTGATATGAACATATTTTACAGCAAAAGGTCATAGTATAAAACAATATATAATATAATGAAAAAGAGCCCTGAGACTTTCTCCTGAAGCTGTGGAAATCTAGCCTTGCCACATTTTGTAGACTTGCGTGGGCTTGGTTATATTTGCTTCAGGGTCTGTATGACAGACGACGTCCCAACATACGCTCAGTCACATGCGTCTCCAGGTCACGGAGAATCAGTGCTCAGAGGCCCGTATTGCAATTTCGTGCGTTTGCCAGGCGCGTAGCAAGCCATATTTTTCGTGTAAGCCCTATGGGCTGCAAAGATTTATATTATAGGTGGTATTGAGGGCTTGCCCAACTTTCATTTTTTATGAGACTTGAAGATTTATCGTTTGACGTTTGATGATTTCAATGGCTTCAAAATATTGTCGAAATTGAAATGTGATTTCCTCATATACAAATATGTTTGGACATAGTTTACACATGTCTGCTGCATTGATACAATACCATACATCGAGTATTTGGTGTTTTTACTAAAATAAATGATAAACAAATGAAAAATAAACAACTCCATTTCAGTGACGATTCACATATAATCATGATTGTAACAAAACATCCTCA